CGGCGTGCCTGTGCCTTGCAGGCAGAGCTGGTGTGGTCGGGGCGAGTCGGTGCCCCCGTGCCACAGGAGACCCTCTTCTCCCAGGCAGGCAGTGGGAAGCCTCGCGGTGGCTCTGGGGCAGAGTGCCGAGAGTCTCTCAGGGAGTCGGCGCATCGGAGCGTGCCGGCCTTGTGCCAATGCCTCCCGTAGTTTCAGCTGTCTGTCAGTGTAAGCCCAAGTTTCAGTCCCGGCAGTAACTAACTCCTCTGTTCCCTGCTGCTGTATTCTGTGCTCCGCTCTTGTTGCTCTTTGGCTTTTCTCTGACTTCTTTCGTTCTGCTTAAGTACGTTGTGTTGCCATTTATCTTCGGGGTCTTTTGCTCCTGCAGTTTTCCCACGGCAGGCCTGCCAGTAGGTCCTCGCTAGTCTCTCTGCAAGGTCAGGTCGTGCGCCGGGGCAGCGTCCTCGGGGTGCTGAGGCGAGGCCGTGTGCCGAAGCAGTGACCCGGCTAGCTTCCTTGCGTGCTTGGGCCCGAGAGCGTTGAGCATTTGTGTCCTCTGTAGGAAGTCAGGGGTTTTCGCAGGCACCGCGTTGCAGCTCCCGGAGGGCACAGGGCTGTCGCCAGCTCCCCTGAGCGTTTGCCATCGGGGCCGTCCGCAGGTCCCGCGGTCGGGCAGCAGGATGCTGTCCATGACGTACAGCGAGAGCCTGCGCAGCGTGGTGAGCAGGCACCACTCGGACTGGGGCCTGCAGCAGGCCCGCCACGCCGACGTGGGGGAGCTGCGGCGGGCGCGGGGGGGGGGCCGCCGGCGGGCCCGCCACGCCGACGTGGGGGAGCTGCGGCGGCTGCGGGACGTGCGCCTGGCGGCGCAGGCCAAGACCATGGAAGAGTTCCTGCGAGCGCACGGGCTGTCGCTGGACGACTGCACAGCCCGCCTGACGGGCATGAAGTATAGGTAAGAGACCGCCTTCCCCCGGCTCCCGCCGCGCGCCCGCGGAAAGCAGCAGCTCAGAAGCTTTTCAAGCTGGGGGGGCATCAAAAAGCTAGTGCCAGAATCGTTATAAAAGGGCAAACGCGCCCTGCCCGTGATATTTAACATGTTGAACAAAGCGTGAAGGCACGTAAATCCCTAGAGCACCTGTGTTTTGGTAGCTCAGAAGTGCTGGCGTCCCCTCGTGTGGAGGCGTCTCGAGGCTCCTGGGATGCCGGAGACCGTTAGGTGTTTATACCTAAGCTGGAGAAAGGACAGACTGGATGGAGGATTTTGCTTTTTTGCTATGACATGTTGGGGTCAGAATGAACTAAAACTGTTGGCATCAAAATCTCACAAAGCGAACAGCAAAGGAGTCGATGCAACTTGCAGGGCATCGGCGGGATCCTTCAGCTTACTGTGCCTTTCTGTTTAGCTCTCCTTTTTGCATATGACTTACTGGTGCTGCACAGGTGAAGTGTCCAAGAGCATTTTTTTCTTCTTGAGTACGATAAAATCTTTTCGAGGCCATTGAAGGGAGAATATTCTTTCTCTTTTTGTGCACATGTAAGTGGCTAGAATAAATCAACATGCTTATATCACTTTTATTGATTAAATTCTTTAAACTTTTTGTTTGTTGTAGTGTTATTAGGAAGTTTGCAAGTGCAAATATAATACACTCTCACCTTTCTAACGATAAAATAGTTAAACAGCTACAAAAATACTTTATCCATCTAGTCATCAGAGAGAGCGCAATCAACTCTTGACTGAAGTTCTTTGTATGCAGAGTATATGGGGGAAAATACTGCACCACTTTAGGCCTGGTCTGAAAGGCTTTTTACTGTTTTTTGTGCGTCTCCTGGAGCGTCAGGTGTGACTGGCCATCTGCGGCTCACCGCCCTGGGAGGCTGAGTAAGGTTGGCTTTTAGAAGCGTAAGGATAAGCGGAGAGCCCTGCTGTGGGGCAGATATGCTGATGGTTACATCTTCCAGGCTGGCTTATGTCAGTGCACTCACCTGCCCACCCGAGCAGCTTTTCTACACTCTTAAACCGGGAATGTTTCAGGCTGCTGCGGCAGTTGTCAAGCTGGGCCCCCTCCGTGCTGAGGCCCCGGCGCAGGGCCGCCCGCCCTCGGCGCCTGCCCGCCTCTCCCTGACCGCGGCTGCCCGTAGGAGCTTCTGCTCTCGTGCGCGTTGCTCAGCTCAGGTTTCAAACACCTCTCAGCGTCACCCTGAAAGGCCTGATTTTAAAAGACTTTGCTGGGGGATTTTGCCATGTGCATTGAATGCTCTGCGCCCTCTCCCTGCTTTGCAGTTGGCTGGAAGAGTAAACGCCGACACACGGGAGGGAAAGCAAGCTGAGAAAATACCATGTTGAGCCGGAAAACCGTCTCCAAGCATGAAGCCAGCTGGTGCTCCATTAATTTTGCATGCTGGTCCAGAACATGGTGTAGTGAGAGGCATGTAAATATTTCAGCTGACTTTTGTTCTTTTAATTACTACATCTTTGTTAGAGTGGGTGATATTGGGAGCAGCCTTGGCTTGCGAGCCCTGTGGCTAGGTGCTGTCAGGGTGGTGTGGCTGAAGGGGTGCACGGTGTACACCCCACCGCGGGGCTCTCCCTGCGTGCACCCCGCTGCGTGCACCCTGTTGCGGGGCTCTGCCTGCTTCCTGGCTTTCCTCAGTCGCCCACGCAGCAGGTCGGGCTCCCATGTGTTTTCTTCTCTAAAAATAAACGGAGGTAACATTTCCGCAGTCACAATAGCCCATTTGATATTCATGGGGCAGTTATTTATTCATGGGGCGAGGCTTGTACGTGCACTATCGAAGATATTCCTTCAGTGAAACATTCAGCGCGGCAGCGACCGGGGCTGCCGGGCACGGGAGGAGAGAGGCGCCGCGACCTGCCCTCCCGGCTGACGGCGCCGCGCGC